GTGGGGATGTAAAAATGGCTAAAAAAAGTTTTTATTACATTATGGGGAACATTGTAATATAAACCAAATCCACACACACACACACACATACAGTCGTGTAAGGATTTCTTATTGGGGACTGCTCATTCATTGGGAAAAATGCAAATGCTAACTATGACAACCTTAACCCCTACCCAGCTCTAACCATAACCATAAGTAACCTAACAAAATACAGGAGTTTTTGCATTTTTAGTTTTTTCATAGCAGTNGCCTCAAACACAGTGCACTGCAGACCCCCACTGTGCCAGATAGATACTAACCGAGATACTATCCTTGCACACACACACACACACACACACACACACACACACAGGTTTGTAATTATGTCTTTGTAGGGACTCTCAATTAATTTATATGGGGAAACATGACGACCTTAGTCCCTACCCAGCCCTAACCATAACCATAAGTAACCAAACTAAATATGAGACTTTTGGCATTTTTACTTTTTTGATTGCATTCACAGATCTTTGTGGGGATGTAAAAATGGCTAAAAAAAGTTTTTATTACATTATGGGGAACATTGTAATATAAACCAAATCCACACACACACACACACATACAGTCGTGTAAGGATTTCTTATTGGGGACTGCTCATTCATTGGGAAAAATGCAAATGCTAACTATGACAACCTTAACCCCTACCCAGCTCTAACCATAACCATAAGTAACCTAACAAAATACAGGAGTTTTTGCATTTTTAGTTTTTTCATAGCAGTCATGGATTTTTATAAAATTGAGTCCCCATAAGGTAAAAAAAAAACAAAAAAACGGGTATTTATTTGGTCCCCACAAGGAAAGGTATACCTGAACCACACACATGCACACACACACACACACACACTCCTGGTAGGTGACAGTCCCCATCCCCACTTTCTGATAGGGCCCATGTCAGGCAGCAGGCAGGAATGACCCCTGTGACATTTTTCAGGGATACTAAGCGGCTGTATCCTTCGCTCCCAGACACGCTGCCGATCGCTGCAGTTGTGCTGAGTTGCTGTAGTGCTGTGAGATGCTGTAGTTCTGTGAGCTGCTGTAGTGCTGTGAAGTAGTGCTGTAATTCTGTGAGACACTGTAGTGCTGCGAGTTGCCGTAGTTCTGTGTGACATTCTAGTGCTGTGAGTTGCTGTAGTGTTGTGAACAGCTGTAGCACTGTGAGACACTGTAGTGCTGTGAACTGCTGTAGTGCTGTTAGACACTGTAGTTCTGTGAGTTGCTGTAGTTCTGTGTGACATTCTAGTGCTGTGAGTTGCTGTAGTGTTGTGAACAGCTGTAGTTCTGTGAGATGCTGTAGTGCTGTGAACTGCTGTAGTGCTGTTAGACACTGTAGTTCTGTGAGTTGCTGTAGTTCTGTGTGACATTCTAGTGCTGTGAGTTGCTGTAGTGTTGTGAACAGCTGTAGTCCTGTGAGATGCTGTAGTGCTGTGATCTGTTTGAGATGGACGTGGATCACTGTTAAGAGATGCTGCGAGCTCTGAGGCCTCTGCTCCTGTGTCTGATGACCCTACCCGGTTTGTGTAAAATCCGCTGCCTATTATGAGATTGATGAACAGCTCTTAAGGACTCGGAATCACTTTCTACTGCACCCTGTCCACCTTGGAACCTGAAACAGATGTTCATAGGAGATGAACCTGCAATCCTCTTCTCCCATATCTACCTCCATCCCCAGCATGGAAGGTGCAGCTGCTAGTTAACCTTCTGAACCATGGGTTCTGCAGAATTGGCTCCAATGATCAAGAACCTCATTGTGAAACATGTCTACATTACGAAAAAACGCTGGAATTTTACAGTCGCCCATGCTGAGGTTCTGCGTACAGCAAAGGTCATACTGTTCTATCGTACAAACTCACTCTGTGAAGGTGACGAGTTGCGGTCCTGTGCAGGTCTGCAGGACATAGAGGGAAAAGCTCACCCCAGATGCAAAGCAGCGAACGGCGGTGCCCGCTGTGACTCTGCAAAGCCTGCTGGGTGCCAAAGATGCACCATCAGGCTCCTTCATGCTGATTAAACTGTGAGTTTGCTCTGACGGGTAAACGAGGACAGCTTCTATGTGTGTGTGTGGGGGGGGGGGCACACGGCCAGGCACCCCATCACTGCTCCCTGGGTGTGACTGCAGCCCCCTGCTGAGCTTGGATCTCCAGCGAGAAGCGTGCAGAGACCTTGGCAGGAAACAGGAGCTCCTCATCCTGGGACTTTCGCCCAACAGTAGCACTCCAGTGAAGACCAAGTACCAAGCTCAGGGTCAGACCCAACAACCTCACTCACCTGGAAGACTAGTTATCCACCGTTTCTCGCCTGAATGACGTTACCAACCCTAATCACCAGGTACCCACCTGCACGAAATGATGAGGTTCTGCTTCCTAGGAGCTAGCAGATGTCAGCTTCAAAGCAAACGGAATTAGACTCATTCAATCTGAGACCCATCCCTTGACTAATACTCCAGCGTAGTTTATTCTACAGCAGTGGGCTTCCTGTTGAGTGATTACTCTAGCCCATACCAAAACCCCAACAACAAACCGTGGGCAGACAATGAGAAATTCATACATATTTTACCAATAATAAATCAATTTTTAAATTGTGAGCATGACAGACATCTTGAAGGAGAGCCAAGCACTTCGTGCCCCCTGTCCACAGGGTGGCGCCCCGCTGAAGAGCACTGACGGGGGTAGGTGCTGGTGCCAGGCCTGGTTCTGGAGACTTCTTTGGCCCGCTGTTCCTTCCCCTCGCTGATGCTCTATTCCTGGCCGAGGGACCACGTGACACTCACACACCTGCTCAGGTGACCGCGGGGTCCCTGGGCCCCCGCCAGCCCCCGGCAAAACCTGCTTCACACTGACCGCCGCTACACGGACACCTGCTAAATAAAGAGCACTGACTCACACTGACCACTGACTCACACTGACCACTGACTCATACTGACCGGTGCTCCTCACGACCTCACACTGACCGCTACCTCACGTTGACCAGACTGACACTCCACCCCAATGACACCGTCACGCTCCCCTCTGCTCCCCACACCGTGTGGTCCCAACGCTAGGCAGGCTCGACCCGCACTTACGGGTGACCGCGTTTGCCCTTGCATTTCCCCAACGATTGGGACATAGAGTCAACTTGAATAAACCCAGAAATCCAATGTTGATCTATTATCCCGAAATTAGTTTACCAAAAACAGTCAATTGTCCTAGATGTTAACCTTTAAAATACAGCCTCCTCTGACCCAGAGTCAGTCCCCCGGAGAGCCTGTGAAATTAGCAGCCGAGCACGCCTCCTGTACGTGACAGGCGTTTGTCGCTTGACAGCAAGGCTCCAGGCGCTGCGTCCGGGCGCAGGGTGTCAGGGACACTGCGTCATCGCATAAACAACCTTAAAAACAAATGCAACTAAATTGTTCCTTTTGCATTTGCCAGGCAAGTAATAACGAGATTTTTTTTTAAATGACGACCCGACTACAAATATACTTTTCAATCAGTTTCACACCTTGTATATTTGGAGATATGTACTATATCCACCTAAAATAACGAGTGAAAAGGTAAATCTAAGTATGGGTGCAATTACTGTCCTTGGACTGCGTTAGTCGTGTAGTGTTAATAAAAACCGATGGCCGCTTGGATCAATCGACTACACAAGCCATGTTGGATAGGCATATAGAGATTAATGGAGACCCAGGAAGAGAGGGGATCTGCGGGGAATCGGCCTGACGGCGCCTCAGACAGGGTCATTACGGCCAACGCTCCGGGGCTTGCTCTGTTTGGGCAATTGGTAGCCGGCTATGGCTTAAGCTCGGTATAATTGCGTGATAAAGGAGGTACGCAGGTGTGAAGTGGGAGCAACGGTGTCGGACGGGTGACTTCCCACATTTTCCGTTGTTGTTCATTAGGCGTCAACATCCCGGAGGACTGAGAAGACCTCGGGCGGCTGGAAATTTCTCCACCGGAGGTTTGTGAAAATTCAGTCACAATTCGCCTCTATTTTATTTTAGGGTATATGGATTAATGAGATCATTGTTCAGCGATTTCAGAACACCGAGTGAATACAAAACTGTGCGAATACTCTTTAAAAATGAAGTTTTAGAAAAAAAGAGAAAATCGCAATATCCGCTTGACCTGTAGGTGGCGCTGTGATGCAGGTTTTGCGTCGCCGTGCTTATTGAATAGCGGGAGATCCGCATAGTACAGTATCGGCGCTCATTCACGTACAGAAACGTGAATCCCGCAGATGACTATAGTCTTGGTTGTACCTGAAGGGAGCGTCCGTCCTATCAGATAACTAAAGCTTATAAACAACAGCTAAACTACAGCTTGTTACGCTTAATAACAGAAGCTTCACATTTAATTTCTGCACCTTATGGACAAGGCACCGAAGTTTCTAAACATGATATTTTAAATTCGCGCACAAGCTTTTTTTTACGAGGCATTAAAGTTGCCAAATGGCACCCCTAATATCTACAGTGAAAATCAGTGCCATTAAATAATTAAGGCGTACATAATTAAGGTGTATTAAGCAGATTAATTCAGCACTTTCCGTATGTTACGGACGCTCACAATTACCGCTTCGCCCAATGTGATCTATTCTGTAATCTCGGGCAGATAAAAGGATAGAGATGGGGTTTTAAACAGCAAATATCTCACTATTATGCAAGTAGCCGTTCTTTTTATACCCTAATCTCCATTCTGTCCCATGATCAGACATTTAATTCCTTGGGTTATTTATAATAATAATAATAATAATAATAATAATAATAATAATTATTATTATTATTATTATTATCGCATCCCCCAGCCCCCTTACATAAACAGAGACGCGCGTCTCGTCGCCCCCGGAGCGAAGCATATGCCACCAGTCCATCCAAACTGTGTGCGCCCATCGCCGGCGATGAAAGTTCACAATTAGCCCAATCAGCGGCCAGATCGGCGCAGGCGAGTCCGGGGGTGGGAGGGGAGGGGGGAGGGGGGGGACCGGAGAGACACACGGCAGCTGGTCCCGGAGCTCCGGCAAACGGGGGAGCCTTGCGCACAGGATCGCAACCTAGTGACTCCCAGTGCCAGAGACCACGAAGTGGAATCGCATCGCCCTCCTCGGGTCCTCAGGAGTGCAGCGGCAGCGCGGAACTAACGGAACGGGGGGAGAACGAAGCGCCAGCTGGGATGGGAGGCGCCGCGCCACTGCCGGGTCCGAGAGCCGCACTTGGCGCGGTCTGAGTACCCGCAAGAAGGACCTTCATCTGGCTGAGGGGACTAGCTGCCGCCGTCCTGGTCCGTGCGTTGGATTCGCCAGCGTTTATTCCTGACTTCTTATCGCGGACGGAATTTTGTCTTATAAAAACCAAAGACAGAGGGTGAGGAAGGGAGGAGTAGCGAGAGGAGCGCTCCTGGACGGGGTTCAAAGCGCTATAGTCCTCATGCATGTGTAGATTTTAAATCTTTGGAGGGTTCGGGCTGCCCGGTGCCACCGAACCCATCCGCAGTGCCAATGCCACTGCGGCGGTGAAGCAGCTAAGGCGGCGCTGGCAGGTAAGCGGCAGGGGACCTGGGGACCGGGGCTGCTTCACATGCCTTCACCTTTATGATAAAGCTTCATTAATGCGCCTTTTCGCCCGCTGTCGCCCGTCCGCTGCGGCACCTCCAGGTAAGTCGCGATACCTGCTTCGCCTTTCGGAGCGGGCTGCCGTGCGGCTGGAGCACTGCACCATACTCGCTCTCCGTCTTTATATATAATATTTTTTAAAGCACCAATGGCCATTTCCATTTCTGTCGCAGCCCACATTAGGACCCCGGTCATTTTATAACATTTACTATTTTAAATGCACGACGGGGCGTTTTCCTCCGAATCGCAGCGCGCCCGCTCTTTCTCAGGGTATTTAAACTTGAGCGGCTGGTACTGAGGGATGCGGACTCCGGGCTGCGGCGGCTCGCATCTCCGACTCAGAATTATAATCACGCCTAGCAGTGTACCGGGCTGTCAGTGATTTTTACTCCCTTTCCTCCGAGCCGGAGTCACGGCTGAGCTGCTGATTTATAGCGGTGGCTGTGAATGCAGGAGAGCCCGCATGACGCCGCCGGGCTGCGATACGTGCGGCAGCTTCGGCACTGCGACTCGGCAAGTCCGTATTAATTTCATTGGGCATCTTCAGGTCGGGATTAATGATGATAATCGGGAAATGGCGCTTTATTATTTTTATATGTTGTGGTAAAGACTGCGTTGCTGTTTGTGAAATATTTACTTGTGTGCCACTCAGCCGGGCAGAGTGCGAGTCGTACTCTTATTTATAGTTAATATGAATTCATTTTATAATGTGTTACTATGATACGAAGCCTGATAAATCTTTGAAAGCGGATCGGCAGGTATTTTGTGTATCTTAGAGAGATTTGCCTCCAAGCAGATGTGTTGAGACATTTTGTTGTTGAATTTTTAATATTGTAAAGTTCGCCGGATTTAATTCTGTATAATCTCAGGATTTATACTAAGAGGTCCACCGGGGGTTCTGTCTTTGAGTTCTAGTTACCCTAAAGCTCTGATGCCAGGCTTGGTACCGTGCTGCAGATTTACACTGGTACCGCCGTGTCTTGATGAGTTTTCTCTACAAAACGCCGCCGATCACGTTCTACTTCCCTGCTTTCACTTCTGCCCCGAAAAAGCGTTGCAGATGCCATTTCTTCACTCTAGTTTCGATGTCCGCTTTGTTGTAGGCCTATTTATTAACGTAAATCGGCCGGACCCGCGGATCCGGTACCAGTGAGCTTTCTGTTGATCGGGCCACAAGTGAAACGGGACTAGCCAGCCTGCCTCGCAGGGGACCCTCTGTGTATGTGACCGCTGCATCACTGCGGGCGGACAGATTACGCCCAGGTGGGTTGAGCTGAGAGCGGCCGGTCAGCCTCCAGATGCAGCGTGGCCGCATGCAGATGCATGTTCTTTAGGGGCTGCTACGGTAATCCGCTGAGTCGGGCCGGGCTTGTCTAACCGGGATGTGAAGGAGGGTCCGATTGGGCCGAAGTTCGTATGTGCGCACGTGAGGAGGGGATGGCAATGACCTTCCATTCTGACTTTGCGTGTCCCCGTGTCACTACTTTAAATGTATGTCCCCTGTGTATGTCCTTGCTTTATGTGTAAATCATCCTCTGTGTGTGTGTGTGTATGTCCGTCCCAGTATCCCTACTTTAAGTCTGTATCCCCTAGTACTCTGTCTCCTGTATGCATGCAGGCATGTCCTCTATGTGTGTCCCTGTTTTAAGTGTTAGTCCCCAATGTGTGTGTCCCCCTACTTAAAATGTGTGTATGTTACAGTGTCCCCTATGAATGTATGCCCCTGCTTTACGTGTATGTGCCTGTGTGCGTGTGTGTCCCTGTCCTTGGGTGTGTGTGGCCCTGTGTCCCCCGTATGTGTGTGTCCCTGTGTCTCCTGGGTGTGAGTGTGTCCCTGCTTTACATCCCCTGTGTGTGTGTGTTTGTACGGGTATGTTCTCAGTTTACTTGCATGCTGTATGTTATGTGTCCCCATGTGCCCTGTCCACCAGTGACATCCCTCTTCTAGCTCGTTATATTCTTCCTGTCCTTTCCGGTCTTTTCTGCGACTTCCTGTCCACACTCTTCGTCCTGTGCTTGGGTGCTGCTGTCAAACGGTGAATCAGCCCCTCGGACTCCCTGCTGCCTCCAGGTGTCTGTGTGTGGAGGGGCCGCGTCCAAGTGCGTACGTGTGTGTGTGTGTGTGTGTGTGTGCGTGTGTGTGCGGGTGAGTGTGCAGGGGTGGGGAGGGTGTCATTGGCTTTTGCTTGACCTGTTCCCATCCCCCCCCACTAATTTTCTTCGGATCCTCACACGGCAGTGCCCCCTCCCTCTGGAGCCGCCCAAATGCGGCAAAGCCCCCCCCCCGAATAATTTTATGTTGCTGCGTTTTCTGGTGGCTCCCTGGCCGGCGCTCAGCCTGCTCCAGCGGGACAGCAGCCGCCGCCAGAAGGGGGGCCCATCGCACACGGGCAGCATGCAGGGGCTGGGGAAGGAGAAGCATGGGGTGTCCAGGTGTGCATGGGGGGGCTGAAACTTTTGATGGGGAAGCAGTCTGTGTGTGTGTGTGTGTGTGTGTGTGTGTGTGTGGGTATGTATATATTACATTGTGAATGTGATAAAATTATTTTGACCTTGTGGGGACATTTTCTGCTCCCCACAAGGTGAAAATCGATTTTATAAAAATCTGTAACTACAATCAAAAAACTAAAAACCGTGTATTTTGTTTGGTTACTTATAGTTAAGGTTAGGGATGGGTAGGGGTTACGGTTGTCATATTTGGGATTAGGGTTATGGCCTTAGAAATGAATGGACAGCACCCATAAAGATATGAATTCAAATGCACGCGTGTGTGTGTGTGTGTGTGTGTGAGTGTGTGTGTGTGTGTGGATGCTTGATGAGCAGTTTGTACCTGTCTGTGCTAGTGCTTGTGTGTGTGTGTGTGTGTGTGTGTTCTCCCTATGCAGGTGCCTGCATGTCTTAGTAGATGTGTGCATGTGTGTGTGTGTGTTGGCTTGTCTGTGTGTGTGTGTGTGTGTGTTGGACTGTCTGTGTGTGTGTGTGTTGGACTGTGTGTGTGTGTGTGTGTTGGCCTGTCTGTGTGTGTGTGTGTGTTGGCCTATCTCTGTGTGTGTGTGTTGGCCTGTCTGTGTGTGTGTGTGTGTTGGCCTGTCTGTGTGTGTGTTCCTGCTTGTACACGTGTCATGCTCTGCACGCCTCGTTGGAAAAAAGCTCCCTTTGTTTCCTCCTCTCGATTAGAAACTGAGCTCCTCGTCACCGTGGCAGCCGGGATTTTCCAAACACGTGACTCGTAGCAGGGAACGAAGGCGCTTCTCTCTCGTCTGCGGACCAGCGTCTCTCTCTCCCTCTCTCACTTCTTCTCTCTCTCCCTCTATATCTCCCTTCGTCTCTCTCACTTCCTCTGTCTCTCCCGCTCTCATGTCCTCTCTTTCTCCCTCTGTCTCTCCCTCCCTCCGTCTCTCTCTCGCTCCCTCTGTCTCTCCTTCTCTCTCTCCATCTCTCCCCCTCCGTCTGTCCCTCTGTCTCCCTCTCTCCCTCCGTCTCTACCTCGCTCCCTCTGTCTCTCCTTCTCTCTCTCCATCTCTCCCCCTCCGTCTGTCCCTCTGTCTCCCTCTCTCCCTCCGTCTCTACCTCGCTCCCTCTGTCTCTCCTTCTCTCTCTCCATCTCT